CATTTTTATCATTTTTTGGCCATTCTGAGCCCTTTTCTCCCCGGGATTTTTCCCCCGGGGGTTTTTGGGGTCGGGAATTTTGGGAATTTGGGGAATTTTGGGATTTTTTGGGAATTTCCCCAGGCCACCATGCTGTTTGCCGAGCTGCCCTACACGCTGGCCACCGAGGAGGCCGAGAGGATCGGGGTGGATCACGTGGCCAGGATGACGGCGACGGGCGGAGGGGAGAACAGCACCGGTGAGAGCCGAAATCCCGGGGTTTCCACCCAAAATCCACCCAGTTACACCCAAAATCCGGGAATTTACACCCGAAATCCACAGTTCTACCCAAAATCCGGGGATTTACACCCAAAATCTGGGAATTTACACCCAAAATCTGGGAATTTACACCCAAAATCTGGGATTTACACCCAAAATCTGGGATTTACACCCGAAATCTGGGAATTTACACCCGAAATCCGGGGATTTACACCCAAAATCCGGGAATTTACACCCGAAATCCACAGTTCTACCCAAAATCCGGGGATTTACACCCGAAATCCACAGTTCTACCCAAAATCTGGGAATTTACACCCAAAATCTGGGATTTTACACCCGAAATCCAGGGATTTACACCCAAAATCCGGGGATTTACACCCAAAATCCCGGGGTTTGCACCCAAAATCCGGGGATTTACACCCAAAATCCCGGGATTTCCACCCAAAATCCACCCAGTTACACCCGAAATCTGGGAATTTACACCCGAAATCCACAGTTCTACCCAAAATCCGGGGATTTACACCCGAAATCCGGGGATTTGCACCCAAAATCTGGGAATTTACACCCAAAATCTGGGATTTACACCCGAAATTTACTGAATCCACAGATTTACACCCGAAATCCCGGGGTTTGCACCCAAAATCTGGGATTTTACACCCGAAATCCGGGGATTTACACCCAAAATCTGGGAATTTACACCTGAAATGCCGTGATTTTTCCCCAATTTTCCCAAAATCCCATGATTTTCCCCCAAATCCAGTGGCAGAGCACCTGATTGCCCAGCACAGCGCCATCAATCCCGGGATTTCACCCCCAAAAAAAGCCCAAAATCCTGGGATTTCTCCCCAAACTCTGGAATTTTCCCCAAATCCCGTGATTTTTCCCCAGTTTTCCCAAAATCCCGTGATTTTCCCCCAAATCCAGTGGCAGAGCACCTGATTGCCCAGCACAGCGCCATCAATCCCGGGATTTCCCCCCCAGAAAAGCCCCAAAACCCCTGGAATTTTCCCCAAACCCCCAGAATTTTCCCCAAATCCCGGGATTTCCCCCCAAATCCCGGAATTTTCCCAAAATCCCGGGATTTTTCCCCAATCCAGTGGCAGAGCACCTGATCGCCCAGCACAGCGCCATCAATCCCGGGATTTCTCCCCCAGAAAAGCCCCAAAATCCCTGGAATTTTCCCCAAATCCCGGGATTTCCCCCCAAACTCTGGAATTTTCCCCAAATCCCGTGATTTTTCCCCAATTTTCCCAAAATCCCGTGATTTTCCCCCAAATCCAGTGGCAGAGCACCTGATTGCCCAGCACAGCGCCATCAAGATGCTGCACAGCCGCGTGCGCCTCATCCTCGAGTACGTGCGCGCCGCCGAGGCCGGTGAGAAACCCCAAAACAGCCCCAAAATGCCCCAAAATCCCGGAAATTCACCCAAATCCCAGCAAATTCACCCAAATTCCACCAAAATCCCCAAATCCTGGGGAGAAAACGGGGGGAAAAACGGAGTTTTGGGGGATTTTTAGGGATTTTTTGGGGTTTAATTTGATTTTTTGGGGGGTTTAATTTGGATTATTTGGGGTTTAATTTGGGTTTTTTGGGGGATTTTTAGGGATTTTTTTTTGGGATTTAATTTGGGGTTTTGGGGGATTTAATTTGGGTTTTTAGGGGATTTTTTAGGGATTTTTCGGGGTTTAATTTGATTTTTTGGGGGGTTTTAATTTGGGTTTTTGGGGTTTTTTTTAGCAATTTTTTGGGGGTTTAATTTGGATTTTTTTGGGGTTTAATTTGATTTTTTGGGGGGTTTTAATTTGGGTTTTTGGGGATTTAATTTGGATTTTTTGGGGTTTAATTTGGGTTTTTGGGGGTTTAATTTGGATTTTTGGGGGATTTTTTAGCGATTTTTTTGGGGGTTTTATTTTGGGTTTTTGGGCATTTTAATTTGGGTTTTTGGGGGTTTTAATTTGGGTTTTTAGGGATTTTTTAGGGATTTTTTGGGGTTTAATTTAGATTTTTGGGGGTTTTAATTTGGGTTTTTTTGGGGTTTAATTTGGATTTTTGGGGGATTTTAATTTGGGTTTTTTGGGGATTTTTAGGGATTTTTTGGGGTTTAATTTGGGTTTTTTTTGGATTTTAAT